TGAGTTTTGTATGTTACAATTCAGAGCTGATTTTCAGGTAGAGGTAGTATGATTAAAAAAAAATTGAAAAAATAAACATGATTTACTTTCCTCAAAGCCTTGTGCTTTTAACTATAATAATCACTAAATTGTACGGTAATAAATTTCTTGTTTTCATAATTTTTTTTTTGGGGGGGGTATAAATATAAAAAAAAATTTTTGCTACGACTTTAAAAAAGGAAAACATATTTATAATAATTTCCATCATTTGTGAATAGTTTCCGGAAGTTTCATTAAAATCCAACAATTACTTTTATTTTTGCAACATTTTCCAAATTAATGTGTCATAAAAAAATGCGCTAAAATTTGCTATACTATTTAGTACCCCCGCTGACACAAAAAAGAGAAACGTGTTTTTTTTTAATCAAAATTTAGAATGTTCTAAAAAGGAAAATTTTTTTAAAATAATTAAAAAATACTTTGTTCTTTTCTTCCCTATAGGTACCTCCACTAGTTCGAGTAAAAAAAACAGCATATCATGATGAAAAAAGTCCCCAAACACAATAAAAACAAAAGTTTTGTTATCAAAATGTTTACATTATTATTAAGAGGAAAGACCAAAGAATTTTTTTTTTATTTTTTATTTTTTTTTTACTCCTTTCTAGCACGTTCGAAATTTTGGTTAAAAATCTTGTTTTTTTTATGACAGCAGCGAACTAGAGAAAAAAAAGGTTTATTTTGCGCTTTTTCCGAGAAAAAAAACACATTCTTGCAAAATTCAAATAATTGTCGGATTTTAATTAAACTTTAAGGACATATACAGAAATGAACGAAATCATTTTTGAAATTTTGTTTTAAAGAAAATCTTAGTAATTTTTTTTTTATTATTTTTACATATAAAACTTACGTAATTTCATGAAATTTCAAGAAAATAAATTTTTAAAGGGGGGATTTTTTTTATTAGTTAAAAACAGGACTCTTTGGAGAAAGTAAATCGTCAATTTTTTTTTTTTTGTAAAACAGTTACCCATTTCATCGAAAGTCTGTTCTGAATTGTAAAAAAAAAAAAATACAATAAGACTATGACATTCTTTAATTAGAAAAGCTTTTAATTGCTTTTGTCTGGAGAAATAAAATTGTTTCGATGAATAATAAATTTTTACAAGAATTTTTTTCATTTTTTAAAAATTTTAATCATAATAATTCAGAAATCGTTTAAAATTCTTCATTCCATTCAAGAATGCAATTTGGTGATATTGTTAAGTGAAAAGTAAATTTACGAATCAAAAATTGAAAAGCTCATAACTTGTACCCGAATATTTTAAAAATAATTTTTAGTGAAAAAAAACATTCCTAACTTCTACCTATGGGAATCTATACATGACATAATCGTTAAAAAGGTCACGTGATTTAAGTGTCGTCTGACATTGCAATTATTTCACTTGAATTCAGTTTTGTTTCATCAATAACGTCTTTACTCTTTACAAATCAATCCTTTAAATTATCAAAAAAAGTTTTAATTTTCTTAATTGCTATTACTAAATAATTTTATTTTATGTATTTATTTTAGTTTGGGTCATACTCCAATTAATTAATTTTTTGTAAGATAGTAAACCTGGAGATGAAATACAAATTTCATAAAGCTTCTTAGAAACCGAACTAAAAGTCAACAAAATATTAAATAATTACTGAAAATATGTTAATTTGTAAAAATTACTAGGTAGTCAAAAACTAAAAATGCGTTCATTTAGTTTTCATAAATAAATGTGTCATTTCTGGTCATCCATAAGAGCTGTCATCACCTTTAAGGGCTTAAATCAATAAAGATCAAAGAAAGAGGAACCCATCGTTGTATATTTTTTATGCTATAAATAAAGTAATATTTATTTCAAATCAGAATTTAACTTTAAATTTTCTAATTTTGCTCAAATAACGTGTCACAAATCTATAATTTTGAAAGAATTTTAAACCCGATAAATTTGTTTGTTTGTTTGCAAATTTCTTAAAATTTAAGAAAATAACCGCTTTTAAGAAAATTTTAAAAAATCAAGCAATTAGAAGGTCAAACAAATTTGACGAAAACGTAAGATATTCTGGTGTAAATTGTTTGACATTCTTGGGATACACCAGAATAGTTTACTGAAAATAATAAATAATCATTTAGCTTTCAATTTAGTATTTAAAACTAGAATGAAATCTTCAAGAATACTTTTTCGTTTTTAAAATTTAATTTTAAAACTTAGGTATCGAAAATTCAGTGGAGGTAATAATAAACATTTTGATAAAATTTTGTTTTCGTCAAGTTTGGGGTCTTTTTCATCATGCTATGCCTTTTTTTTTAGCGATCTCATGGAGGATTCTATCTGACTCAAGGATAGCAGAGCAATTAGCAATTTTATTGATGTTTCAGCTCTAAGGAGAGAAAAAATAATGCAAATCATTCAACTCCCATGTCTGAAATATTGGAAACCAAAGCAATAAAATTTTTGGGAACATTTGAGAAACATCTAAGCCAAAATAAAAAGAAAGAAAAATATATACCTTAGAATTCTTCTAAGATTTTTCGTTCTTTTTATTTTGTCTTTCTTTATTTGAGGGCATCGTCAATGTGTAAAAATTTAGAAAAATATAAAATAAAATGAATTGTAAATATTGCACAGGACCTTGAAGAAAATAGTTCAGACAGGGACTACGTGAAGTTGTAAATATTTGTTAACTGCAGAAGCGAGGTGATTTCCATGAGAAACATTCACCTTGAAAGACAATGCAAATGTTGGGCAAGCAAGAATCAACAATAAAGAGCAAAGAACGACCTCCAAATATGTACTGTACACAAGTAATGAAGATCAACATTTTCAAGTAAACCTGAACGAAACGATAATACCCGAGAAAACTACGTTTTACATCGTATCATTTAAACCATCTGAATGAAGAAAAGCAGAGTTAAAGAATGGAATTGTTACTTGTGTTTATTTATAGACAAATAGGAAAATCAAGACGGAAGAGAATTGATCCGTTGCTATGGAGACTGGTAACTACGGAATGCATGAATGAAAGAATTAGTAGAGCAGAAGGAATGAAAAAAAAATAGACATTTCATACAATAAATCATAATCATAGTGGTAGGAAGAACAATTGATTTATTTTTCAGCAATAAAAATAAAAATGAAGGAAGTGAAACGAAGCGTATTATTTAATCTTACTTTAAGTTATAAAATAAAAATCTAAGAAAAAAATGTACGAATCATTTTTGTTTGTGATATTGTTGACTGTTTACTTTAATTTTTCAAAAAGTTATTTATTATAAACTCAAATAATCTTGATTTACAAGACGTAACTAAAAATTAACATGATCTCAATTCCCAATAAACCAAAAGTTTTCTTAAGTCTAAAAAAAATCATACAAACAGTAGAAAAAATTCATATCGAGATGATAAACAAAATAAATAAGTTGAAGAAAAAAGGCATTAGCAAGCGACCTAATAAAGAAGCCTTTGCATTTTCAAAAGCAAAATTCAATCCAAAATAAAGCAAATTTGTGATATTTTTTGGTTTGTTTATATTTTGAAGAAAATATTTTCATTTTAATATTTCCTTCCTTTACAGATTCTGAATCAGAATCTGGAAAGGAAGGAAATATTAAAATAAAAATGAAAATATTTAGTTAGTGAACACCGTATTTTTATTTTACAAAGAAAATCATAACACGAAATAATTCCCCTTCACACGCAAATAGAAAATACAATTGTAAACTAAACTGAATGTTGAAAAATTGTAAAAATATCCACATTTAAGATAAAAAATAATTGATTATTAATACTTTCAAAGTGCAGTATTAATTTTTTTACGATAAAATTTTAGAAAAATCAGGTCAAAATACGTGGTCTAAAAATAAAATTAAGACTTTTAAAAGTAGTTTTCAAGCTATGAAAATATCAATTATTCATAAAATAACTACTGAAGTGAAACATTATTTACAAATTAATCATTTTCTTTTGTCCAAGATTAGTTTTCTAAGAAATTAAGTATGAAGTCAAAGCCTATCAGAGATAAAAAAAAAAAACAGTTGTTGAAATGTACTGTAAAATTTCTGTGCCTACAATTATCCTACTTACAACTTGAATAAAAATCGTGATCAATTAGAGGTGGTTTACAGTGGACAGAAAAGAAACGTGTTTAGTTCGTTCTTACAATTCTGCTTTAAGATTATTGATATAAAAAAAAATACTGTTGATACTGAAACTTTACTTTAGAAAAGTAAATATGTCAAAAATATCAACTTTTCCGATTTTAATGTTTTTTTTCCAAGTGCAAAAATAAAATTAGGACCGTTTTTTTAATTTATCGGAAGGAAAAGCATTTAAAAATCATAAGAATACCCAAATTTTATTTCTAAACTATGAAAAAAGAACATCGAAATTAGTTGTAATAGCAAAGTAAAAGTTGAAGGCTCATGTTTCCTTTTTAAAATAAATGCCTGTAAGAAGTTATAAACTAGGTTTAAAAAACTGTCAGAAAGTTGTTTAAGATAAAAATAGGATCGCTCAAATTATTTTTTTTAATTTCATATATTCAATTATTTGGTATTTTTTATTACTGTGTAGTGTAATTTCACTTTTAAAAAGTAATAAAAACAGCTAAAATAATAAAAAGTCCAAAACAATCGATAGAGAAGGCATATTTTAATGAAACAAGACAAGGATTTAAAAATGTTAAACTCAAACTGTTAAGTTTGAAATAATGACTTATACCTTAAACAACTGAAATTATAACAGACAATAATCAGTTAGTTTAAATGTTATATTTTTTATAATATCTAAAGATAAATGTGTAGACCCGTAACATAACAACTAAAGGGGCTTCTCTAAACAAATTGTCAATAAACGTCGTTAAAGTCAAAACGAGAAGAATAAACAAAAATTGAAGGCAATATAAAATAAGTATTAGAAATAATAATGTTTGTATATAATAAGTAAATGTTGTGTGTATAAATAGATCATCGGTAAGGAAAAAAAGGATACACTTGAAGAAAGAGCCCACTGAAAAAGAAAAACAAGTCACTAGAATAAAGTGTACTGTAATCAAAGCAATAATCTGTTTATTGTACGTACGTGGCAAACGAATTCGTTCAGATTTTACACACTATTAATCGGCATTACTTTTTTTTTAATCTCTACAATGTTCAGACATTTCTTAAACAATTTTCTTAACTATTTTTCGTCACTTAGAAAGAACAGATATTGGCTGAGGAAAAAACTTTGTAGAGAAAGCAAAGAGTTGAACCTACCGCCTTTTCCAGATGCCAGCGAGCGAGATCGAGGTTTTTCGTGTGGGCCAACAAAATGTTTCCTAACTGTAGATGAGTCCTAGACTCTATCCGAGGAGGCGGCTTAAAATTGAAAATTGACTGCAGACAGTGAATACACAGCCGAATATTGGGTGGGTTGGACGTCCGAAATGTTTCTGCAAGACCCAAAAGTGAAACATACCATGGTTCGGCATCGACAACGGACGCCATCTTGGTGGTTGGAATCTTTGGTGCGGACTATGTCAATTTTCTCACAGGAAGAAAGAGGCGAGGGAAAAATTACTTTTCCAAAAAAATTGCTTGCAGACATTTTTTAAAATTATTAAATGAATTAAGCATAAATCAAAATAATTTTGAAGACAATACAAATATATTACACACACACAGAGGTAAATTATTATTGTTTTGTTTATGTTTTGTTTTTCTTTACTGCCGACCGAGTTTTATCAATACTATCGGCTGGTGACAATTTTTTTGTACTTCGATTATATAGGTCAGGTGGTATACTTGGTCGAGGGTTCAAAGCCTATTTGAACCTAGTTTCAATCATTTTCTTTAAAATATCTATTTTGATATCCCCCTCCTTTCTCTCATTTAATTGAAACATTATTTTTAATTTTATTTGAATATAAATTTTAAGTTTTTTTTTTTTTTTTTTTTTGTAACAAAAGAAATTAAAACGTTCTGTCGTTATGATACGAATGGTATTATAGTTTTTTTTAATGTGCTAAACTTCCTTCTTGCTGTCAATAATATTATTTTTTATCAAGCAAGCAAGTATGTCTAACGTAGCTGTGTACTAAGTACGGCTTTACCCAACTCCACGTGATGAGTTGTTTTATATTATACTTCCTTGACCTTAGAAGAGTCGTGTTTTTGGTTGGTTAATTTGGTCGCTAATTCTAAGGCGTGTACATCACTTGAAAATAAACACACATTGCATAAAAAAGAAGACAGAAAACACACAACAAGAAAGATAACTGTGTTTAAATAATAACCACAAGTTGATATTTCCCAGTAAGAATATTATTTTTATCACAATATTAAATGACTTCGTAACTAGCTACCAACATTTTATGGCAGGTTTTGTTCAGTTTTTCTTATGTTCCACTTTCCAGACTAATATCGAGTAATTAAAAATATTTTTAAACTATTAAAATATTTTTAACTTAAGTCATTTAGCATAAAAAATAAAGAGATTTAACAACAAACATTCATTTTTCTTAATTCATACTTTGTGAATTTTAATCCAGATATTTTTTTAAATAATCTTTTATCAGACAAACACATTTTTTGTGCGAATCTATTGAAATGAATTCTCCCTTCCTTCTCTGGCCATGGTTTTTAGTTTTAAAAAAGATTGTTTGAATTTCTTTTTAATAATTAAGCGGTAAGACCCGTTTAACTTACAGTCGCACTGACGCTAAAAAATAAAACTGATTTTTAATTACAAAAAAAAAAAAAAATGTACATGAAAATATTTATTATCCAAATAATAACAAGAAAAACAGAAAAAAAATTTGGAAAAAAAAACTTGGATTCCATATAGCGTGAGCTGGAAAATGTCTTCGTTTTCACTTCAGAATGTTTAGTTTAAGGAAAGAGCACAACATGAAGAAGAATTTAATAATTCTATATTGCTTGAAAAATAAATACCTTTCTTAAAAAAATAATTCAAACAATTTTTTTACATGTCAGTTTTCTTCTTTAACATCAGTTTGATAAAGAAAAGCTTTTATTAACTGTCATTATTTAATTTAATACAAATATTTTAAAACAAGAACTTAATGGGCCACTCTACACAGCAGAACAACTTCGTAAGAGGACGATAAAGAAAGTTTTGCAGTGTGCGCTGTAGAAACCGCACCTGGTTTTCTTGCTGACGTCACACCTGTGCAAAGCATTCTGGGTTTATTTCAGCAAAATGGCTGGGTGGATATAAACTTCAATTTTGTACACTGTTGAATTCTTTTGCAAATTTTGTAAACATTAACAAAGTCTTCGACTTATTTTTGTATTGATTACATCTTTTTAGAAACTTTAACTGCAAGAAATATTTGTCAGATCGAAAGAAATATATTAGAAGATAAGTAAGAAAGAAGTATTTCCGTGCAATTGAATCAAATTTTTAAGGGGTGCGATGTTTCATATTACAAACAATAAGTACATTTTTTTTAAATAAACTTCACTGAACGTGCATTTCGTTTTTGTGTATTTCTTCTTATTATTATTTAATTTACCGTACCTGATTAAAAAAAAATTATTTTTTTGCATCGATTTTTTTTTTTTACACTAAATGGTAACAAAGTTTGTAACAGTAAAAATGCAGATTTCGCCATAATTTTTTTTACAATTATTGAAAATGAAATCTGATAAGTCTTGTAAATTGCGCTGGAATCAAACGGGAATTTTAGCGTTCAGGCAAATTATATTTTTTTTTTCCTAGTATAAAAGCTGAAAGAAAAATATTATCGAATTAATTTTGACCATGTTTCAGTAGACAAAGAAAAATGTTTTTTCTTGTTGCAGCATGACAAGATCGTTTCTGTTTTATTCTTTCTTTTCTAATTATTTAAGAATAGTTCTTGACCGGCCGTGTCACTCTATCCCTCCACTCCAGTAAAAATGGTTTCCAATGGTTGTAAACTACAACTTGATATGGTACTGACTCAAACCCTGTCTTTAAACAACAGATTAGGAAGCATGAATTACTACTTAGATTGTTACAGCTTCAATGAGAAATTGCCCAAAAGAATTAAAGATCACCACAAATGATTTTCTTAAAAATTATTTATCTTTGTGGAACCGACTCCTAAGAAGATGATTCTTCGATCACTACAATCTTCAAACCTGTTCAGTGGTCAGTAGATATGCCAAAGTAAAAAAAAAAAAGATGAGGATTTTTTTATACTGATGTAGACTCTTCCTAATTGGAAGAACAGTATAATAATCATTCTACCACAATCTATTCTTATTTGACCCTGTGCTAAATGCCTAAAATTCATTTGAACAACTATCAAAGTCAATTAAAAGTTTTATTCATTTTGTTACGATGTTATCTTTTGGTAATATTAAAGAAGTTTTGAACAATTCTTCATTTTGGTCTGTTTTGTTGTTTTTGCCACAATTCTAATTTGAATTATTCATACATTTGAATGCGGGTTGTAGGGTGAAGTGCTCTGTAATTATTTTTTATAGGCTTTGGTATTTTATTTTTTTTCTTGTTTGATAGATGAAAATCTACAATGTACCCTGGAGAAATTTTTCAGAGTAATATTGAATTGTAGAGGTTCTTGACTGTCAACTGATACCTAATTTCTTGGGACATCATCATGTTTACCTTTCATAGTCAGAGATGATCATGACTCAAATTGGAGACATGACTTGACCATAATTTGGATTATAATGATGGAAAGTTGCATATATTGTTAAGACATCTGAAGATAGATGAGGATGCATTGCATGAACAAGACACTCTGCATGTTACACCATACTCTCTTTATACTCCACTCATTGGTTTAGAATTTGCAAAAGTTGCCATTCTAGACTGTCAACCAAGACTAAAGAGCCCAGTATGTCCTGCTATTTACCCATAGCTGAATGAGTTCATGCCCTTCCCAAAAGTATTAGTGCAAAGAGAATACAGTGTGCAATGGGTAAATTGTCACCATTTTATATTTTTAATTTTGCACATGTGTATTGTTTGTTTTTGATTTTGTCAACTATAGGGTCAGTTGGGCATCGTCTATGAGAAAAAAAGCTCCATGACCCAATTCACTCTGCCAGAAATTGGAAACGGCATGCTGTACTGCTTGGCATTCACACTGGAAATTCAATACAAACATTTCATAGTGTTTGGGTGACAGTGCAAAGGATTCGGAAAGAGTTGGATGAGTCTAATGTTGATTACAAAGGTGTTTGGAGTGATCACTAGTGATGGCGATGTTATGCCTCCATTCATCTTCCCACAGGGCCTCGGACTCAACACAGAGACCTATATCAAGTGCCTTGAGGAGGTGGCTGCTGGAAGACCCTATGTCTGGAAACAGGACTATTCACCATGTCACACAAGCCGGAGAACCCAGTCATGGCTGTCAGACAATTTCTGGCCATCTAACTCTCCAGACTACAACCTGTTTGGTTATTATGTGTGGGGTGCAGTTGAGCGAGAGACCAACAAAACTCCTCGTAACACTTATTATTTCATTTTAAGATCCATTTGTCATCATATCTAATTAAATATAAAATGTCTGAAGTCATATTTTTAAGGAAGGTTAATATGACCTCATGTTTTTCCTTGACAAGAAGAAAAAGGTTAACAAATGTTGACAGACACCATAGCCGAATGAATGGGAAATTATTCCAGATTACTTAACAAAAATTAAAGTAATTTGCACACACACACATGCACACAAAGAAGAGCAACCTCAGCTTTGTTACTGTGACACTAATTATTATGACTTATTGTTCATATTGCTACTAAAATTAAAGTTATTACTACTTCCACTACTCATTATCATTACAATATTAGTCATGACTACTATCACTGTTATAGTTTTTTTGGTAAAATTAAAGAAAATTCCATTCCATAGAATTTAGAAAAATGATTAAAAAGAGCATCTTTTAATACCTTTGTAACTAATTTTTTTCTTGTATTGCAATTAAAATGTTTTAAATAGGTTGTGAATAAGGGACATTTAGGATTCATTCTTTGAATCAGTTTATAGTTAATATTTTAACATTTCAAATTAAACTTATTTTTATTTATTTATTTTAATTTAGCTATGTTACTAGAAGTTGAAATTTCTTGAGTAGGAGTTGCATTCAGTTTCAAAACCTGTTTCCAAGTTAACCTTGTATTTAAAGAAGGAAAAATTTCTTTTAAAAGTATTTTCATGAATAACAAAATAGACTTTTAGAATTGATTTAAATTTCATTTTTTAGTTTATATGTCCAACTCATACAAGAGTATAAGAATTATATATCCTTTTGCTACAAACTTAAACATTGAACTATTAAAAGAACATGACAAAAATGACTGATTATTAGTTAAGGCACAGTCCATTTGCCCTGTTAATTTTATTTAATTGTACAATACTTGATTCTTCTTAATCTCTCTTTCATCTCAGATCTTCTTGATAAACTGACTGTAGTTATCATAGGGTTTCAAAATACTTATTTAAAACTTATATACACTCACAAAGGCTTAA